CATCTCCTCCTCTTCCTTCTCCTCTTCATCTTCATCTTCCAGCTTCGTGTCTTTCCACTTCCATTCCCTTGAGTACTGCTCGAGGGTTGTGTGTGGCCGACGGATAACAGAGCTCTTGAGAACCCTGCGCTTGGCGATGGACGCAACTGTGTCCGGCTCGAAGTTCGGGACTTCGATGAAGGAGTGGGAGGCCAGTGGGGTCGACGAAGGACGGGCTGGAAGCCGCATCAAACTTCTCCTGTGCGACGCTATCATACTCATGTTGCCTTGCAGCTTGTTGCCGTTTCACAGGCTTTGAAGGGCCAAGTTGCCGGAGTGGCGGCGCAGCTCCTCCTCAACCTCTGCCACCTGTTCCCTCCCCTCCCTAGCCGCTTCTCTTCCTCCCAGTCCCTCCCCTCGCCATTCGCGGCACCGTCACGATCGTCGCGCCTGACATTTCCATTCACTGGCAACCGTTGATGGTTCATCCCCCTCATCCCCCCATCTCCCCCACCCCCACCCACCCACCCCACCCCCCCCATCCCCGCCCATCCCCACCCACCCCCCATTGAGAGTTGTTTTTGAGACAAGCTGGTGGGTAGTAGTGACTCAGTGTCACCGACCCGCCTCGGCGTCAAAAAATATTGGTCAACAGTAAACCTTCAATAAAGGTTAACCGCTGCTACATCCATGGGTGATACCCTGGCACAACCACATGGGAAAAAGTATAATACCATCTCTAATGAAAAAGTCCTAATACTTTACCATATGCAACACCCCACCCCTCGATCAGCGGGTCGTGACACGGACAATAAAAACATTAACTTCCCCATAAAATTCTATAGATGTTCTCTGCGACTCCATCAATTATACAATAAATTTTATTGTTCAAAGTAAAACTTATGGAACGGCTGAGTTCACTCCCCAACCACCACCCGCCCATCTCCCCTCCTCCTCTCCTCCTCCTCTTCCCCTCCTCTTCCCCTCCTCCTCTCCTCCTCCTCTTCCTCTCCTCCTTTCCTCTCCTCCTCCTCTCCATTGTCCTTGTGCTCCTCCCCATCGTCCCCTCGCTTTCCTAGTATCTCAATCCCATCTTTGGCCCCCTTAATTCATCCTTGTTCATTGTGAAGAAAGCGCAAGTACTCCTATATAGTTTCTTCCTCCTCCTCCTGTCCTCTTCAACCCCACCTCTTGAGCCTCTTTTCTACTGAAGAGAGCAGCGATGGGTTGCGGAAGCTCTGTGCAGCAAGTGAAGTACGACCCGTGGGATGCGTACGATTGGGACTCGTTGCCGCAAGGATACAAGCAGCATTGGGAGGTTCTCGGCTTTAACCGAGCAAGTTGGAACGGAAACATTCCTGAGCCTCGAACTCTCTCCACGGCATGGTCTCAACTCTCCCCGGCTGAGAGGAACTCTGCGACCGCTCTAGGCTACAACCAGCGAATGTGGGACAATGGCGAGGAATTAACCATGCTTCCTCCCCCTCCAGCATCTCAGCAGAAGCAGCAGCAGCAGCAGCAGCAGCAGCAGCAGCAGTATCCCCAGCAGTATCCCCAGCAGTATCCTCCGCAGCAGGTTCAGAACGCCAAGTTCTGTCAAAAGTGTGGCGCTCAGGCGAGCATGGCTCAGAACTTCTGCAACTCGTGCGGACAGCAGCTGGGCATGGCTGCTCCTATGGCGAACAATGGAGGAGGAGCTCCTCCTGGTTACGTGCCGACAGGATACATGATGCCGAATGCGAAGCCGAACCCTGGGTACAATCAGAATATGCCGAATGCTGGGATGTACAACAATCAGTACGTTCCACAGCAGCAGCAGCAGCAAATGATGGGTCGACCTGCCGGACGGATGGGGATGGGCGGGATGGGCGGGATGGGCGGGATGGGCAGGATGGCAGGAGCAGGGCTGGCAGGAGGAGCAGCAGGGTACATGCTGGGGGATGGTTCCATGTCAGGTGTGCTGGCAGAGGGAGCAGAGTTAATGCAGGACGGTTACGAGGCCGTAGCGGACGGCATGGAAGAAGTAGGAGGTGAACTTTCAAGGATATTATGCTGTCAAGTCTTAGACTGTTGCTCACAGGATACATGGGAGACGCGTTCGAGGCAGTGCAGTCTGCGGACTACGGTGGCATGATGGAGTCAGCAGGTGAGGGAGGATGAAGGAGAGTTGGTGCGTTGAGCGCTGATCTGACATGACATGCAGGGGACGCGATGGAAGACTTCGGAGAGTCGGCAGGAGGATTCTTCGAGGATGCGGTGGGGGCGATAGGAGACTTCTTTTAACGTTAAATGCTCTTAAAAATGCTCTTAATCTGCTACTTAAAGTAATGACATAAATTGTGATGGTGATGGGGAATGTTTGACGATGTTGCAGCAAGAAAATGTATGAAAACAAAAAACTGCCCGAAGAGCTAGTAGGGAGGCAGACGGCTGCCATGACTTTCTCTACGTCAAAAATCAAAAGCTAATGTCACAATGTACTGGAGAAGCTCTCCGTTCCCAAGAGTGTACAGGGGAGAATCGACGCCGAGTCGCTGCAGGAGAGGTCATGCGCTGTCTGCCATCCTTTCCCTTACCTTGTGCGACCCCATGCCTACAGCCAGTCGATACGCCACAAGAAAGCTGCAGGCAAGTGAGACGGCGGAGGAGGATCGGGAGCACCGGACGTGTGCGAGAAGGTATGGAGCAGGCGTGGGATGGGCTCGGTGAGATGAATGCAGGCGCGGCGACGAATCACGTACTCGACAGCCTGAGGGAGGACGATGAGCTGAGATGATCAGCAGGACGAACGTCACCTGCACGCGGCCGATGCGGAAGCGAGCGATCAAGTAGGCGATCACAAGAGCAGCACTGTGCGTCAGTCCCGTCAGGCAGTGGACAAGCAGTTTGCCGTTCTCAGCCTGCCAAGCAAGTCACAAGTTAGCAGGAGCTGAGGGGTCGTCTCACCGCCCGCATGAAGGTGATGGCCTCTATCCACTTCCTCTGCAGATCGTCATCTTCGCTGATCTCCATGCAATAATATGAAATGTGATCGGGGAACCTGAGCAGGTGTCAATGAGGACGAGAAGATATTGATTCGTGAGATGGCAGCAAGGTGATAGATACAGACATTGATAGACACTGATATGTGAGATGACAGCATGTCAATTGATGGACATTGATAGACGTGCTTCCTCCATGCATTCTACTTTTTCTTACATTGGGCGCACGATTTTCTCCAATGGAGAACGCACCAGCACAATCTGACAAGGGAGTGAGAAGGCGAGGAGAGAAGGACAAGTATGAGAGCACATGCGTGATGCCGCAAGACATCAGTGCCGAGTACTTCCTTGCTGCAGCAAGAGGCCCCAACCACAGCTTCTCCGGTATGATCTCTTGCGCCACCCGGCGCATGTCGTATGACCAGCCTGCGCAGGTGCACTGACTGTTGCGAAGATACTCGTAGAAGAATTCAGCATTGATCCGCTTCTCCCTCCATGAGTCCCACACGGTGGTGGCCGCCAGGTCATGGATCACTCCCTTGGTGATTACACTCCCTGCTTCGTTCTGTGTGGTGGACGGCAGCTGGGTCGGACCATGGCCTCCTGCCTGCCAGCTCTCCGACAAGATCTCGTCGTGTTCTTGCGATTGATCATAATGGGTCATCTACCTGCCCTCCTCAAACGTCTCTCAGACTGACTCCAGTCGTTCTGCTCACTGCTCTGAGTCCGCTATGTCATCAAAACGCAGCGGTCGATTCGCTTTCGCAAGCTAGGAAAGCAACAAGGTAAGCAATCAATAAACACTATGGTATAACCCTTGTTCTCAAGGATGCTTTGAGGATCATGATGTGTCAATATCAATTGTTCTCACCCTTGTGCCAAGCATTTCCTTCCCATCACCTTCTCCTCATAGTGTGCTGACTGCTCTTCTTTCATGTCGTGGGCACTCGTTTCCTTGGAAATATCTCGCCTTGCCCTTTGTCTCTATTTGCTATCAATTTCTCTTCCGAGCTTCGATCTTTTGCATGATCGTTAACATGTCTTAAACTGACCTCTTCATAGAGGAAAGCGCTCTCCCCTGCTTCCTTCACCCCCTGCCCTGCCCTGCCCTGCCCTGCCCTGCCCTGCCCTGCCCTGCCCTGCCCTGCCCTATCATGACACATCATGTCATGTTCGTCGCATCATGCCAAGTTCTCTCCATCTTCTCCTCTTCTTCGTCGCCTCCCCCATTCGTCTTCTGCATGAAGTTCCTCTCCACCAAACCCGAATACCCTTGGTGACCGTACCCCCAACCTTCCTACCCCTACCCCTAATTTTGATTGAATCGCCCCCTCATACCAATAATTGTATCAGCCCCTGGGTGAAAAGTCTCCACCGGTGGTTACGACTGGACCGACAAATTGATTTCCTGATCTGATAGGGGTTATCCAACCACCCTTCCCCTCCCAATTCACCCCTGGAGTACCCCCACCATTTTTGAAATCGACTACCCACTTTTATCTCACCCCTACCCCCTCAAGAAGACATACAACTGGCATGGATGTCTCCACTAGTAGCGCAGTTCATGCAGAGGAGCAGGGGGGAGGGGGAGCAGGGGGGGGAGAAGGGGGAGGACTGGAAAGGGCGCCAGTGGTGAAGAGGAGGAGGAGCAGGAGGAGCAGGAGTGGAAAGGGCGACAGTGGTGGAGATAGGTGTAGAAAGGAAGACAAGAGAGGGGAGGAAATGTGATTGAGGAGTGGGCACGGGAATGTTGGATAGGAAAGGCCGATGAGGAAAACTCCGTGGCGGTGTTGGCAACTGGGAGGGGCTGGGATGACAGAGGGTTGCGAGGGCAGAAGATACGCATTATGCAGGGAGACAGGGGAAGGAGCGAATTCAAGGAATGCAAGGAGCGCTCTCAGAGGTTGCCAAGGTTGAGTTGGATTGTGACCATGTTTGCAGATGCCCCCGAGGGCTGCGGGCGCAGAGCCAGTCAGGAAGTCAGCTCGGAATGCGCAAGATGCGGCAGGACCAAGGTAGGAAGAGGATGCTTGTATCTGTAGGAAGAGACGACTTTGTTAGTAGGAAGAGAACACTTGTGTTCTTGTATTAAGGGATCTGAACCTGCTGTCAAGGTCGTTGGACGAGCGTCAGCGGGAGCGAGCAAGGCTCGCCAGGCTAGCGATGCTGGTAAGGATGAGAAGCATCTTAGCAGCAAGCACTGGCTGCAGCGATTGAGACGAGCCCTGATCCTTCTTGCATGTGACGGTGGTGAACAGGAGCGAGACAACCATGTGACGGACAACACACACATGATGAAAGTGCACAACCTTGGAGGCGATGAGTTGATCGGCAAAGGTTGTGCGAGCATGTCAAGCTTCGCATGTTGGCTCAATCTTTTCACAGGCGAACAGAAGAAGAAACGAAAGAAAATCTCCTTGTTTGAAAGAACCAAGAATAGGTTTGTGCTCTATCCTACCTCCTCGATGGCTTATGAGGGAAATTCCTCAGAACTCTGGACCAAATGATGCAGGAAGCCGAGACAGAGATGGTACAAGCATATGGGGTATGAATCTCTTCTCTAGCGCTGAGACTGATCTAGGTGACAGGCTTCATATTATGACATCGTCAGCCCCCCTCCAGGAAAGAATGAGGTTGGACAAGACCCTGACGTTGGCGCCTGCCTGACAGTTGCATGCAGGGCATCGCAAAGAAGTTATGCTCGATCTGTGGCTACATCGCTCCTTACACTTGCCGCATCACGGGCATGCGTATGTCTTTGCGCTCACGTTGCGATGGAGGAGTGACAGACTTATAGGTTTCTGCTCGCGGCCATGCTTGCGGGTGCACGAGGAGACGAGGCTGAAGGGGCTCAAGTGACGCTGCTGGTTGCTGAGGTTTAAACTTGTACATTAAATGTATTCTCTTGTACATGCGTGACCAGCCCTCGAGATCATCAACAGCTGGCGATCCCTCGACACCGTCTGAGTCGTCTCTACTCTTACCGTGAGCGCTGTCGGTGAAATGATATGTGATATGTGATATGTGATATGTGCAAATGTGATATGTGCATATGTGCATATGTGATATGTGCATATGTGCATATGTGACCTGCAGATGGTTTCCTAGATCATCGCAGAATGCGTGCTTGCACTCCATGATCTGATTCCGAAACTGATGTCCCTTGCTGATCTGAATTGAGACTAACCCGGAGCTATTGTGACCCTGACAGCTGCTCTAGTTCTTTCTGCTATCCTCCCTTCTTGTAATCTTCTTTCCTTGTTCGATCCTCCTACTTCCTCCTCCCCCCCCTCCCCCTCCTCCCCTTCCCTTAACCCCCCCGCTTCCCCTCCACCAGCCATTCGCCCCCTTCCTGCCCCTGCCCCCTCCCGTAACTGACGTTGAGCCCTTACTACCCTCTTGAGTGTGACCACCCCTCCTCATGAGCACAAATTCGCGATTTTGGAAGGGTGGGGGTAACAGGAGCTTCAACAGCTGAGCCTATCATCTAGTAGGGAGGGAGGCAACGACAGGGAGCAGAGAGGTAGAGGAGGAGAAGCAAAGGGAGGGAAGGAGGAGGAGAGAGGAGAAGAGATGTCCTAGGAGATCACAAGCTCATCCTCGCTGAACCCATCTGTTCCCAGACATTGAGCTGGCCTTGTTGCTCGGATCGTCGGGAAGTGAACAGGATCGAACTGCAGTCTGAACCCCGTCCTGCGGCAACAGATGTCTTTACATGGCTGCCAGGAGGACAGCACGATCACAGCGTTGCTGAGCTCACCGAGGTCCTTGCTGGCATGCGAGAGGCAGGGTTACACCCCCGAGCAGCTGCTGTACCGAGGAGAAGAGGAGTTCCACGATGCGCAGGCCGGTAGAGAGGTCTCCTTCCTCCGGTTCGAGCATGCCGAGCTCGGGCGCCGGAGGAGGTTGAGGGAGGTGCTGAATGAGTACGACATGGTGTGCCGGGAGGACATGCGGGATGGCGACGATGTGAGGCACCAGGGGCTGCCGTCGAGCCTAATCCAGCTGAGCGCGAGGTCGTACGAGAAGGAGTTTGAGATCCTCAAGATGAAGCTGAGGGAGCAGATCGCGGACGTGATACGTGAGGACCTGAAGAAGGAGCTCGAGAGGAGCTCGCAGCACCATCATCCTCGTCCCTCCTCTCCAGCCAACGACAAGTCCAAGGGGCCCGCAGCTGGGGAGGGCAAGTCTGCCAAGTTCAAACCTCCTCCGCTGGTAAGGAAGCAGTCGGAGAACGCAGCGAGAATGCAGAGAGAGCGAGAAGAGCAGCAGAAGCGGAACATCCAGATAAAGGAGGAGCGAAGGCTGGCAGCTCTCGAGAGGAAGAAGCACGAGCTGCAGGAGGAGAACGAGAGGAAGCGGACTGAATTCCAGCTGAGGCTGTCCTCTGCGCAGGACGCGCTAAGGGACCACCAGATGAAGCAGGAGATGATGCTGGACGAGAAGATGAAGAAGAACGAGGTACAAAGGAAGAAGTTCGAAGAGGAGCGGAGGGAGGAGATGGAGAAGAGGAAGCACATCCTGCAGATACGGCAGGACCGAGTGCAGCAGGCGATCAGCGAGCTGGACAGCCGAGAGGAGGTAAAGATCAGCAAGCTGAAGCAGAAGGAGGAAGAGGCCGGGAAGCGCCTGCAGGCTCTCCGGCAGAACAGAGGCGCGAGCTCGGAGCAGAGGAGGAGGGAAGCGGAGTACAAGGAGCAGCGGCGGCAGGAGATACTGATGAGGGCGGAGTATGACAAGGAGGCGCGGAAACAGCATCTGATAGAGAGGCAACTGCAGGATGAGATACAGATTCAGCATCAGAAGGAGAAGAAGGAAAGGGAGAGGAGGCTGCACGTGGAGTTGGAGAGGCAGCGGAAGCAGGAGAGGATGGAGGCGATCGAGCGGTACCGGCGCATGGAGGAGTACAAGAGGAAGCAGCAAGCAGAGAGGATCGATGAGGAGACTCGGGCGATCCAGCAGCGGAAGTCAGACATGAAGAGACTGCACGAGTTCATCCTGGCGGAGAAGCGAGAGAGGGAGCACCTGAAGAAGCTCATGGTCGACAGCGTCAGGCACTTCGCCGTGACGCGCGTGTGGAGCGTGCCAGAGGAGGTCAGCTCGGAGATCGACTACAACGAGATCAAGTCCGCCATCCAGGAAGAGTTCTGGAGCCAGAGGACGGGATCGCATGCGCTGAGGGACCAGGAGAGCAGAGACGTTCTCAAGCCGGCTCCTCCTTCTACAGCGCCGGGGCATGCTCGTCAGGTCTTCGTTACCCAGGAAGCAGAAGGCTCGTGGAGCAGGGGGGATACTCGGGATCGCCTCGACCATCACCCGAGACTAGTCGACCCAAGGGAGGCACAGGGAAGGTATCTTCCTCCTGCTCCTGCTCCTCCCCTTGTGCAGCAGCAGAAGCAGCGCCCCAAGTCTGCTCACGTCAGTTCGACTCGCGTGGTCCTGTCAAATTCAGGTCACCCACTCAATGGGATCGCTCCTCTTGCTCCGCATCCAGACCACAGGGAGATCGAGGAGGGGCGAGAGCGTGAGATAAGGTGCAGTCAAGAACAACTCTCCCTCCCTCCCTGCCTCCCTCCCTGCCTCCCTCCCTGCCTCCCTCCCTGCCTCCCTGCCTCCCTGCCTCCCTGCCTCCCTGCCTCCCTGCCTCCCTCCCTTCGAAGCTCTTCCATCCCTCTACCCACCCCATGTCTCGTACCATGATCTTCTGCTTCTGACAAGCGGAAGGAGTTTCAGGCAACCGGCGAAAAAGCTTCGAAAGAAGAAGAGGATCAAGAATGGGTTCGCGCAAACTCCGCTCCTGCCTGCTCCTATCATGCATGTGGTCGAGAGCCTTCGAAAGTGAGCAGCCTGATCAGGAGGAGGAAGCAGGAGAAGAAAGCAGGAGGAGGAAGCAGGAGAAGAAAGCAGGAGGAGGAAGCAGGAGGAGGAAGCAGGAGAAGAAAGCAGGGGGAAGGGGGCAGACAGAGGAGAGGGAGGGTGTAGAGGGGAGGGAAGATGAGGAAGGAATGAAGGGAGTTATGCTGACGGTGTTGGATCTCAGGATTCAGAACTTGGAGCTGACACGCATGATTCAACTGGAGGAGGTTTGGTGAGATTTGGTCGATCAACCTGATGCCTCGACAGGAGCAGGAGAAGCGGCGAGAGAAGATGTACGAGATGGCTGAAGATGAAGACAGGACGGTGAGACGAGACTGTCGAGTTGGAAAGAGCTGACAGTGGGTGGCAGGAGTTGAAGAGAATCTTTGAGAAGGAGAGGAGGAGAGGAGCTCAAGAGATTATGAAGATGACTGCCGCACACGAGGAGCATCTTGCTAATTTATTAACACAACATGTGCGATGATTAGAATTCATGTGAAAAAAGTCAAGTAAAAATTGAATAACACAAACACAACTGAGAAACGAAGAATGTTTCTTCGACAACTCAATCCCTGCCAAACAGAAGCCCTTGAAGGATGAGGAGGGGGGTGAGGAGAATGCGGAAGAGACCCTTGAACGGCAGGAAGACTAGCTTCATGACTTGCTTCCACAGGGGCTTGCCCTGGCTCCCCTTGACCTCCGTAGGCATGTCCTTCCTCTCCACCGAGCGAGTTTGATGCTTGTCAGCCGCCGCCGCTCTCTTGGCTTCACTCTCCTGCACCAGCTCCTTGGTCACTGTGATGACGTTGTTGAGATTCCCGTCCTTGTCCTTCTCCACCTCCCACTGGTTGCTCGTCGTCCACTCTCCATCGAGGATGAACTTGAAGTGATACTTGCCGGGGGGGATGGGGATAACGCCGTTGAACTCGTTCTCGTGCTTGCTCAGCTTGAAGTGCTCCAACCACTTGCTCCAGGACCCAACCACAGTCACGTCCTCCACTTCATCCACGCCCTCACTGATGGAGAAGAAGACCGGCAGGTTGGCCGAGCTCAAGTCCACGTCCTCCGACACCGAGGACAGGAACTCTGCCCTCCTCACGACCACTTGGGGATCAGCCTCCTTCTCGTTCGTCTCGCTCACCACTGACTCAACATCAGACTCTGCTTTCCTCAGCTTGCTGGTGAACCCAGGTGCTCCATTCATCCTCCCCACTCCAACGTCGTTGGCCACATTCGCTGCCTCCACAGAGGCAGCTGAGCACCACTGAATCGCGATCAGGAGGCAGAGTACGTGAGTGGAGAACTTGCTGGAGGAGAGTGGGGCCATGTCGTTATGCTCAAATCTTGTGCAGCACTTGCCCTCCTACAGGGAAGGGGGAAGCCAGCTCAGGTAGATTGAGGCTAAAACAGCTCAAAAGATCTCCAGTTGCGGCTCTGAAAAAAAGCACCAGTAAGAGGCAAGACGTAGAGAAGCATTGCTCCTCTCTCCTCCTCATCCTCATCTAATCTAAATATTCGCAAAGCACAAGATGCTCCTATCTCCCCACCCTCATAAGTGGTCTACTCTTTCGGCGATGCCTCCTCATCATCCGCTCTTCTGCTCCATAATATGATCGCCGATGGTGTAGTGGCAAGAGGGTTCGACTAGTTACTGCTCGGCTTATCATCTAAAGTCACGATTGGCCTATCGTTTCCCTCTCACGATCACATCTCTTCATATCTTCCTCCTAAATTCAAAATGACGTACCTGAGCTCTAACACATCATCTCTATCCTGCCTTCTTGCATAGAACCAAAACAGCCATCGGCGAACGAGAATGCTATGTTGACCTTCTCCATCCAACACCATTCACTTTCATCATCATCTTCCTCCTTAGCATCGCTATTCTGCCATCGGCGTCTCCCCTCATTCTCTTCATCTGCCATGATCTATGGCCACCTCCTCCTGCCAACGGTTTCATCAGCCGCAACTCCCGCCATAGCGTCTCCTCATCTATCTCGCTGGCCACCTCTACCCACCCCAGCTACCAAACTGTACCCCCACCTCCAACTTCTTCACCCCCTACCCCCAGAAAAACTCAAGACCCCCCTGACTTCGCAACAAAGTACCCCCTATTTGACGTTATGGACGATTGCTAACCCTGACAATATCACCCTTTACCCCCCTGATTGCCAGGTCAGACCCCCCTACCCTCAATGTCTCTACACCCCGAATACCCCACCCCTTCACATCTCGCAACCAACAAAATATTGATGACCTACCATCCAAACACCCACCCCCTCTACTGGATTCACTAATGAATACCCCACCCACCAATAGCTATGAACATGAAATATACCCCATCTTTCTCACAAAAGGAGACTCAAATACCCGGTCCGGAGAGACGTACCCCATCTGGTGTCGCAACTACAAAAGTACCCCACCACCTTGTTACACATGACCCCACCCTACCAGTCAAATTGTCGTTGTGACCCTCCCCCGAGATTCAAAAAAATGTCCCGCCAAACTCAAGGCTTATCTGGTCTGCCATCATCCGTTCCCTCCCTCAGTCCAAGATGCCGTCGGTACCAAGATGCCGGGCCCCGGGCCCCGGGAGCTCATACCGCACAAATTCAACTGCTCCCCGCACGCACCTGTCCCCGCACTGTCCCCGCTGCTCCCCGATGCCGCCTATGATGGCGCAGGAGCTGGAGAGGTTGTCGAGCGACATGGTGAAGGCAAGGAAGGAAGAGAAGCTGCTCACGGAGCAGGGGAAGCAGCAGACCCTCACTTTCCTCGTCCAGGGACAGGAGGAGGCGCGCGTGCTCGCCCTGCGCGCCATCGTAGCTGCTCGCGCGTTCGATGGGAAGTTGGAAGGTGCAGGGAGCCTTAAAACAGTGTCGGAACATGGAGAGGGGGGAGAAGGAGAAGCAGCAGCAGCAGCAGCGGGAGAAGCTGAAGGTGACGAGGACACGATTGTGTTGAGAGACCTGAAGGTCGAGCTGCTCGAACACGCCATACACTATATGTACACGGGTAGCTTCGAGGTGGATGAAGGGAACGTGCATGATATGCTGAAACTTGGGAAGAGGATGAGCCTGCCCGGGGTCATCAACATATGCTCCTCCTTCCTCTCAGAACGCTGCAGCAGCTCGTCAGTGTGCAAGGCCCTTGCAAGCGCGGAGGCGAGCGAAGCAGCGGAGCTGAAGGAATTCTGTCTCAACTTCATGGACAGGAGCGCGAAGGACGTGCTGGGCGACCCCTCGTTCGTTGAGCTGCCGAAGGAAGTCCTGCAGGAGGTGCTGAGGAGGGACTCCCTCGAGGTGGAGGAGGTGGACTTGTTCGCAGCGGTGGTGAGGTGGGGGAAAAGGCAGGCCGAGATTGTTGAGCAGGAGGCAAGGCGGATGGCGGAGGCTGCGGCAGAGGCAGCTCCTTCAGGGGAGGGCAACAACGAGGGGAATGAAGGAGGAGGAGGAGGAGGAGGAGGAGGAGGAGGAGGAGGAGGAGGGAAACGGGACAACCGTCCCTTCCTCGAGATCGCCCTCAGCGGGGTAATCGACCATGTTCGTTTCCCCCTCATATCCCCTGCTGCCCTCCGGGACGTGGTCCAGCCTTCTCTGACGGTGGAGCACGAGGGGGAGAAGCGATGCGTCGCGGAGAGGTACGTGCTGGAAGGCTACCAGCACCATGCTCTCACCAAGATCGGGCAGCCCAGCAACGTGGAGGAGGAGAGGCGGCGGCCGAGGAAGAATCAGAGCTCGTCGCAGGCTGAGGTGAACAGGGAGGAAGAGGAGGAGGCAGGGAGGGTGGAAGAGGCGAGACGCCGGGCAGGCCGCACGGTGAGGTGGCTGGAGAATCTCCCACGGCAGGCGGCGCGGGTGAGCATGAGGGGGATGGGGCTGGGTTATGCGGATGCGGTGGTGACGGCAGAGCACGTGAAGAGGGGAGGGAGGAGCCTTGAGGAGATGGACCTGAAGAACAACGACTTGGACCTGTCCTCCATGCAGGTGCTTCTCCCAGCGCTGGGAGGATGCAGCGGGCTCAAGGGGCTGGCTCTCGGGGACAACCCCATCTTCACTGTGAGGGCTCGACTGTCGAGGAGGTGAAGTACTGACGGCAGCGAGCAGAATATGGGGGAGAGAGATGTAGAGGTTGTACAAATGCTACTTGCCAACCTCAAGACCGTCAAGCTTGAGAAGCTCGGGTTAGGGAGCACAGGGATGGACGATAAGAGCTTGAGGGGTCTGGTGGAAGTCCTTCCTAGCTTCAGGAGCCTCAAGGTCCATATCACTTCCTGCTCCCTCCTGTGGCAATACATAGTGACATGCTCCTCGTCCTCGTCCTCGTCCTCATCTTCCTCTTCTTCCTCGTCCTCGTCCTCGTCCTCATCTTCCTCTTCTTCCTCGTCCTCCTCCTCCTCCTCATCATCATCATCCGCTTTCTCCTCCTCCCACCTTCAATCCCTCCCTCCCCATTTCCTTTCTCCACCCTCGACCCTCTCCTCTTTGTTCCTATTCTCGTCTTTGTTCCCCTCCTCTTCTCCTTCCTCCTTTCCCTCTCTCTGCCTCCCTTCCATTTTCTGCCTCCTCTCTTCAGGTGTTGGGTCTCAGCGGAAATCGTCTGACCAGCGAAGGGGTCGAGTTTCTTCTTACACGCCTCCAGGTGACGTGGGGGAGGAGGAGGATGGAAATGATTCTACTGGCTGCAAGCACAAATTGAACTTGTTGCTGCAGAAACTGCGGGAGGAAGGAGCTTGTTTGAGTTTGCACACTCTTATCCTCCATGACAACTCTATATCAGGTTGAAACCTCACCCTCTCCCCCCCACCCACCCATCCTCTCCTCCTCTTCCTCCCCTCCCCTCCCCTCCCCTCCTCTCCTCTCCTCTCCTTTCCCCTCCCCTCCTCTCCTCTCTCTCTCCTCTCCTCTCCTCTCCTTCCTGCTGCTCTACTCCAATCTCTACCACTTCATATTCTTCTCAGTACTTATCCCCTATCGCAATCCTTGCCTTCCTTCCCCTTCCATCCACCTTAGCTCCTCGCTCCTCTCCTCTCCTCTTGCTTCTCAGTCTGCGAACTCCTTCCCCATATTTCCTTCTCCTGATCTCCTTTCCTCAGATGCGGAAGTTTCGAAGCTGCAATCTCTTTCACCAAAGGGAATGATCGTGCAGTTGAAATCCGATAGGTGACAAGCAGTGCAATCAGGGTTTGTTTGTAGATATCCGAGGTGATATAAAGTCCGACCTCCACGCAGCATCGAGAGAAAATAAGGAGAAGGCAGGAGGAGAAGGGAAGTGAAAGTTTCGAAAGCTTGTAATCAGAAAGAACAGCTCAACTATGCCAGTCGAAACTAGAATGTATCTCTACAACTGTCAACTAAATATGTACAAATGGTACAAAATCAATACGCACTTCCTCCCCCTCCCCTCCTTCCAGCCACCACCTCCTCGCTACCTCCGTCCCACTCCCTTGCTAAGAAGCTCTGTAAATCTCTGGCATGAAAACGCGTCGGGGCTCTTGAAAGGCGGCAAGGGAGGGAAGAGGAGGAGCAATTTCAACTACCACACCCTCCGTCCTCCTCCCGTTCATGATCCTACTCGCCTGTTGCTATCAAAGAAGGTCAGAATCGAGCAAGAGAAGTCAGAGAGGAGGAGG